TACTAAAACTTTAAATGGAGATGCGTTCTACAACAACTTCCTGGAATTCCAATTTCAAATCTCAGGATTATGAAAAGAATGGTAGAAATGCTGGGTGTGAAGTGCAGTCATTGCCCTATGACAAAGCAGCCTGACAATATTCTCTCTACATGGAGCAGTTGACGAACAGCCTTAGTCAGCCCCTCTGGTGACAATTCCCATGTCTACCACCTAAAGCCATTTTGGCTTATGATACGGTTAGTGGCTTGTGAACAAGCTGTCTAGACATGGCATTAAAACTCCTAAAAATACCATCTTCATTTGCCCCGCTATTGTCAGGAGCATTCCAACTATCTCCCTGAATCAATCCACCAAGGGAAGACCAACTTTGGAATTTCCAGGTAGCTAGATGTCAATGCCCGCTCTCTGAGAAATACAGGTGCATGTAGATCTAAGTCTCTATATAGACAGATAAAATGTACTGGTGTGAAAATGTCCCCAAAAGACTAAGGGGCTAGAAAATGCACAACTCCACCCCTAATAGTTGGTGCAGTGTCCACAGCCTAAATCACTGAATGCCCTGTCCCTGTACCTCAGACCTGAGCAGTGTGTTGGACATGGTATATAGCCCAGATTTTACACTCAAGTAAATATGCTCTCTGTGTTCCCAAAAAGACCAATATTTATATATCAAGCTCACCAAGTTAAATTTACTTTCTCACATTAAGCCCGCATGATGAATGGCTTTATCTTGCCTATTACAGCCTGTTAAACCATAAATCCCCAGGCAGGAGAAAGAGGAAAGAAATAACCTGAACGAAGAAAGCCACTGAGGGACAGACCATTGCTATTTAAGATGGCTATACTGCATCACATTTGCAAACAATAATATGTAAAATATGCTGGAAAAAAAACTATTTACTCTTATTTCCCTTCCATTTCGATTTTCTGTTATTAACAACAAAAAAGGAATGTTGACGTAGGAGCATCTGACTAACCCAATATTTGCTTTTCCCTGGTTTATTACTTACATAATGTAGTATTCCTTAAATCATTTTTACCTATATTTTTCTTGTTAGGTGAGTAAATGAATTAATGAATAAACATGAGCATGAAAGTACTTCCACATTCTGGTTGGAATGCCTTTTCACTTACTAAAATTTTAACCCATTTTTTTTAGTTTTAAGAAAACTTCCTATTTCTCCAAAAGCCTTCCTCTTGTTACTGTTCAGATTTTTTCTTCCTTTCCACCACACTTACTTAGAACTTTGTGTTTTGTTTGGGTAACTATCTTGATCTGCTTTGTTCAAAAGGTGTTTAATGGTGGTGTTCATGATCACCAATAAAGTGGCTTGTCCAATTCAAAACTACTCAGTTCATTTCTTTCTTGATAATGGCACAAAATAGACAATGGTGCATTTAGAAATTACTAAGGTTTAATTAAGTCTTGCTATAAGTTCATCAATTTCTGAAGTCTATTTTCTTCCCCTATTGCTTTGGAAAATCAGGACATTAGTTTCTCCCTGGGTACCTGCCATCTCTCCTCTGTCTGTAAAGATGGCTGCCCAACCACTCATCTCATCGACCTATCTTTCTTAACTTACTTAGGGAGCATCACAGAACCCAAGGTGAGAAAACTAGAGTCTGTCTGTAACTCCACATTCCCAAGAGCTTTCTAGGAAGAAAGCAGGTCTGGAGCTTCCTTTTCAAAGGCACAGGCAGGGTAAAGGGGCGAACAACACAGAGAGCTTGTTTTCACATTAAATAGTCGGTCAGATGCAGATCATAACTTTGGAGATTTTGTGAGGTGCCCTCTTACTGCTTCTTTTTTTTTCTTTTGCACCACCCCTGCTGACTCAACAAACACATAATGCTTCACTATAGGGTGGACTGGATGCCTTCTAATCTGGAAATACAAAAGAGAAATGTCACTTGTCCTCTAAAAAACTTGATATTAGAAAGGACCCATTCTTATATCCCAGGAGAAGAATCTGCTAAATACACAGCTGACTGAACACTATGAGAAATACCCATTGTATTTGCTCATGGTTTCAAACTGCTTGAGAAAGTCCAGGAGCCTCATCTGTAACAAGTTTCTGAAGGAGCAGTGAACAGAGACTAGCAAAGCAAAATTTCATCAGAGAGGAAAACTAAGCAGACTGTTTCAGGATATACGGGGCATTGCTGCAATAACAAATGCTCTCTAAAATGAAGTAGTTTAAAAATAGATTAATTCTCATCCACCCTCCAGGTTCACTGAGGGTTGGCTGCTCTTCTCCGCAGCCTCATCCTTACTCCAAGGCTCAGGGTGATAGAAAAGCCACTAAGTGGAACAATGGTGGCAGTTGTGACACAAAGGAATCTTGTGAAGCGTGCATCAGCTCTAAAAGCTGGTGCCCTGAAGTTACATGCAACACTTTTCTCACATTTTATTGGCAAAAGCAAGTCACACTTAACTTCACATGGGCAGGAAATATAATGCCACTGTATATATGAAGAGAGGGAGGACTGAAATATATGTAAACAGCCAAGTGAACCGGTTGAAAATGTTTTTCTGTTGAGATAGAAGTAATGTAATTTATGCATAAAAACTAAGATGATTTTTTTAAAAAAGATGTCATTAGAACCTCCACATTCTAGGATTCATTTAAAAAATATTCTACAAACTGAAAAATTCAGATAATATGAAAGGAGAATTAAATCTCCTACAAACCAGAGTAGATTCCCAGAAGATCAAGTGTAACTCTTTTTCACAATGTGGAGAGAAAATACAAAGAAATGAAAAATACCACATGCAAAATATAGTGTTAGCAAATAAAAATTCCAGGAGGAGGAAAGAAACAGATGAAGGAGCAACAGTAATTAAGAGCAACTGCAGCTAAAACTTGAAGAATAGTTCTAAAGATTTGAAGTTTCCTTTTGAAAAGTATAATTCAGATGCAGATGGGTTTCCTGAAAAAAAGAGAACCATACACATATGTAATCATACATGTTTATCCATATTTCAAAACATATATAAACATGGATAAGTTCACATGCACAGATGTATGGATAAAATATCTTCCTGTAGCTATTTTGGTCATAGTTTTTTTTTTAAACATATATACACTGGGGTTGTATATACATGGTTTAGGGAGGTGCACATGTATGTGTTTGTATACAGATAAAATCTGTATCTACATATATCTACATATAGTATAATCTACATTTCTTGGTGAAATTGTGAAAGAATATAATGATAAATTTTCTCAGTTTCCAAAGCAAGAATGTGTTTCTTAGTAAGAAAAGAGACCAGCACTGTCCTGTAACCAGTGAAAGCCAAAACAACAGCATGTAGGGGACTATAGAGAGGAGGGGTAGCAGCCAGGCATCCAGTCTGAGGTTTTAGCCACCAACCAGAAATCAAGACAGGAACACTCAGGTATGCAAAGCAATGTAGTGTGAACCATTCTTATACCATATCTGTGAAAATATTTGGTAAAGTAATTTAAGCAAATTAAAATTGACCCAGAAGAGACATTTCAAGATAGTGGAGACAGTACACTGGACAGTGATGAACAGCAAATTTCACAATATAGTTAAATATTTACGCATCTTAACAGTGTTTTAAATGTGGTACTTTATTTGTCCTGATTTGTAGACAGGGAAAAGTAAGACTTCGAGCAGTGTGGCATTTGGAGGGGCAGAGCAAACCTTCAAATTGAAGCTGTTTGTGGTTTCCTGGATACCTTGTGTGGAGACAACTGTTTAGAAAACTTGGAACCACAAGGGAAAAGACAGACACGTTGTCTGCAAAATCTGTTTGGCTCAAGATGTTAAATACAAAGTCTAAAGCTTCAAAAAAAAAAAAAACAAAAAACAATATTTGTAACATGACAAAACAAAGGATCATACACTATATAACCAATAGGGTCGACTAATTTAGTGATTTGGGGGGTATCATTTAAAGACTTATATGCAAATGTTTCATAGCAATTTCACTAATATTAGAGAAAAACTGGAAACGACACACATGGCAACCAGTTGGTAATAATCAACAAATTATAGAATACCTTCATAATGGCAAATTGCTTGGTAATAAAAATTTTAGAAAATGAACAAAGTACATGAATAGGCACCTCACAAAAGACAAGTGCATATTGCAGATATCTGTATAAATGGGGCAGGGGATTTTTTCATAATCTGTGCAGCACAAATTAATAATGGGACACAATTTTCTACCCTATATATTGACTAAGATTATAAAGCATGCATAACATTCATCATCGGTATGAGAATTCAGTTAAGTGTGTTTTTTTCACATGCTTACAGTCACAATATAAATTTGTACATTAAGGAGAAAAAATGATCTGGTGGTGCCAATGAAAATAAAACACATGCATACCCAGAAACCCCTTTGGGAAACACCGTGCTATAGAAGTTGCAACATATCACATTAAGAAATTGCTATAATGGTAAATGTTTAACCACTGACTTTCCAGAAAAGATAGGGGGGAGAGAGGGAAGAAGAGGAAGACAGGAAGGAAAGGAAGGAGGGAAATCTGTCACAAGTAGCACTTGTGACTTTCCATTAGTAAATAACATCCACCAAGATCAAGTTTTAACCATTGTTAAATACAGAGTTGGGGAAAAAAATCACACACTGCTGTACTCTGCATTAAGACATGTGCCCAAGGACCTCTATGGCCACATTATTGTGACCCTGCATAACTGTCTGCTGCATTCTCTTTTGGTTAGAGTGGTTAAGAGCATGTGATACTTCAGTAGTTTTTGAAATTCTTATATGAATTTTTAAAGAGTGAGATTCTCCATGTGCTCTACAATTACCCTATAAAGTCTTTCAGTGTCTCAGCAGCTGATTTCTTTGGTTCTGGAGCTTCAAACTCAATCAGTCAAGTGCTCTATTACTATTTCCTCATCATCTCTTAGACATTGTAAAGAAATCTGACAGCTCCATTAATAAAATGAATCTTCAGCGCTTCAAGGTTGACAAAGGAGTGATAGATAACTTCTTCACTAACCTTGGGAGATCTGTGTGCGACGGCACTAAGGCGGCTGTCAGCTTTCCTTTCAGTTTTAATTTCACTAAAAGTCAAGTCCTGGGAGGGTAGAGGTCATGTTTGCCTATGTGCTGAACTTTATCCAGAAATTAACCCAATTCCTGGCACCTAGGAGTTATTTAACAAATCATTCATCAGCTTATAAATAAGCAAATGAGTATCCTCTTTGATGAATTTGACCCTTTCTGTTTTAAAAACCATTTTCAGAGAGAACATGACAGCAAAATAATTGCTGTTTTTTTTTTCTGCTATGAACATCCGTTGTACTAAATGTAGCTGAGCTAGCTCTACCTGATTTTTTTTTTCTTTTTGGATTGTGCTTTTAAAAAGACCCATAGAAGAAAAAAAGGCCCTTACATTTCTTCAAAGTTTTCTCAGAAATCTTTGGTTGTTTCTCTGCTGTAGTTTTTCTGAAATTTTAAATGCATCCTTCACACTGGACAGTTTTTCTGTCTTTGAACACACCCTTTGAAAATATAAGCCTATCACAGAACTTGTTTAGTACTATATTTTTAAGTCTTTATACGTCTCTTTAAATGTTCATTTGGATCTTTAAAATATATTCTTTTTGCCTTCAACAACCTTCTGTCTCGCTTGAGCTACCTACTTTCTTAATCTTAAGCCATGATGTCATGGTTCTATTTGTTTTGGTCTGATGAGCAAGGACTTTATGGTTTCCTGGCATTGGAAGCCTACTGAACATGGGCACCACGAGATACTGAATTGTTTTCTAAGTGTTATATTTCTGTGTTCCTCACCTCCAAAGCCCTTGGGCCATCATATGGGACGGACATTTCACTGGGCCTTCACAATTTAATGATTTAAGTAGTGTTTGCCAAGCATTCCCTACATGACGCTCTGAGTCAGTATTGCCTATTATGAACTCTTAGGACAAAGTAAGAGTCAAATATTTAATAAAGTATAGCTCCTTGGGCACTTAGGATTGTGTGGGTATATGTGGTGTACGTGCATAAGGAAAATACTTTGTCTTTCTAAAGGAAAACAGTATGAAATTAGTTGGTATTTAAGTAGTTTCACATCCTTTTATAAAATAGTGGAGTATCTGTATGCTGTGAGTAAGCTGTTTGGAGGGTTACAGAATAAATCTGAGGATAACGCAGAGCAATTGTTTAATAGGATTGTTGAACTACATACTTTCCAACTTGGAAATTAATTATCAGAGGTTTCATGAAATTTGTTATGTCTTTGTCCTGCTTGCCCCCCACCCCTCTCCTTTTAACAAAGGGAATGAAGAGAAGAGGAATCAGGAAATTGAAAGGGGATGAGGAAGTATTCTATGCTTCATGGTTAGGAAGAAAGGAGAGGTGCATTTTTCTGTTAGTGTGAATTTAGAGAAAGGGAAAAATGGTCACATGGAATTTATGTAGATACTCATAATAATGCATAGATGGTTAGGGGCAAAGACACTCACCTATAGCATGTGTGCGTGCACAAGTATACACAGGCGAGAAACTTGGAATGGCGTGTGACCTGATCAAGTCTGTATTAATGATCATGCTTAGTAGTAACTGCTTGAGATTGTGACACCTGATTATACCTAGGTACTTTAATTTCTCTTGCTATTGCTCTCTGTATTATTTGACTAAACACAAAGAAAGGTAAATGTTTTAATAAACTGTTCTATTTTATGTGAAAATAAAACCTTCCTGAGTGGAATTATTCTGCTACTTAACAATGGCTTCATGGATGACATTATTTTAAGTGACTCTTGCTCGGTTTGCAACTGAATATCTGAATTGTAAACACAGTATTAGGAAGAAATGAAAAGCTTCATTCTACAAAGCCAGGCCTATAAAATGACAGTAAACTTCATTCTAATGAGCTCTTTACACTCTGATTAGGAACATATAGACCCGCCAAATAAACTTTATCCTGACATCTGTGGCCTAAACGCCAGGCTCCATTGTCTGAGCTCAGGGGACAGATCTCCAGATTCTGAGGGACACAGGGCTGTTCTTTGAGTTCCTGTGTGCTTCACCTACAAAAATGGACATGCTCTCTGCCAGTTGCCACACTCTCAAGGAAATAGGAGGAATAAAGTTTGGAGGCTCCACAGAAAATACATAAATAATTATTTTAATTGAACACTCTCCTTGGGCAGATGAATAGGCCTCCAATTTGACAGGTTCCTTTTCATCTCCATTACCTGTGATGGAAATGAATCAGTCACACTTTAACCAGCTCATATGTTAATATCTTCAGTAGGCTCCTGATAAATCTGCCAAGCGAGATGGATGTGAGTTCTAACCAGCTTTATATTCTAGTTGCATAACCAACTGAAAGGGCAAGGAAGTTACAATTTGGGCTTTTCATGAGAGCACTGAGAAGATTTTTATAAGAGGTTAAAGTGTTTTAAAATGATGGCCAGACAGAAATTTATATATATAAAGTTTACACACACACACACACACACACACACACACACTCACTCACTCTTGTCTTTTAAGGAGCTTAGACTGTTAAGCAAAGAGGTGAAGAAATATATATGTATATATTATATAAGCATATATTATAATATGCATTTATTTATATTTTAAATAGTATTTACATATTATAAATGTTATATATTAAATATATTGATATATACTTAATACCAGTGAAAGCCAACTGGATGAGGCAGACTGTCAGAGATTTATTCTATAGAATTGAGGTTAAGTAACTAGCAAAGTTCACTTGAAGCAAGACTTGAAGACTTTACTTTTATGCCTATTAGCACTGCAGTTTGGAAGCGTAGTAAGGACCTATCTAGATGGAAGTAAAAATGCATTGGCCTGAATAGGTTGAGGTCCATGGATGACCCCTAGGTTATATTAATTAACTCAGGTAACAGAAGAAGCAGAATGAGGAGACATTCTGATAAAAGGAACAAGATTCTTCCTGGGTCTCCAAGAGCCTGCTCTGGGGCTGGTAACATTGTTCATGTGCCATGTAGACTTTCTGGAGAGACCATCTGAACGTGATGGTCCTGGAGCCTGGATGAGAACTTGAAAGGAAAGAAGGGGAGTTTTGAGACCATTAGATTCCACAGGGATACAAAAGATGAGGAATTGAAAATACCAAAGATACGGAGTACAGATGAATGAGAGAGTAGGCAATCAACAAGTTTTAATGAATAGGGCCCTACTTTCAAGTCTGTCTTTAGAAAGAACTGCATGTTTTAGAAGTTTTCAATCTTGTTGATTTAAAAAAAATATTTTGCCTTACCTTGTATTTTAAATATTTTCTGCAGTTTTGCTTTCATTCAAGATAGTGTTGGGTTCCTGTTAAACCTTGACAGTGTTGATGTACATAACCCTGTTTATCTAAACAGGGGCTTGGGATAACTTTCTCCACCTAAATAGGGTAACATTCTTTTTCTGCAGACCTTAAACATATTACCTGTGATTATGAGGGATGTTGGTTTCAGAACTGTCATAGACAAGAGAAAAAAATTCTAATTTTACACAGTGAATTGGAATGCAGGCCATTTCATATAGTAGGTTTAAAAAACAGTTTATACTTGGAATTCTCCAAAAAAAAAAAAAAAAACCACTATTCTTTGAATTTTATGTACTAGAAAACAATTTCACCCTATTTCTTCCCTTTCTTAATAAATTAAAACAGCCATTTCAACTTCATCAGTCATTAACAATGACAAAAATGACATTGGCCTATGGGTTCATTTTGTATATATTGATGAGACCATGACGGAGTAACAGCACTTTGTGAGCCAAGAATTTAGCAGAAACTAAAATTTTCTGGAAAAGTTTTCTAGTTGGGAGTGAGAAAACCTATTTCTTGTTTCTGTCTTTGCTACACACGAGCAGAGCCTCAGATAAACTCCTTATCTTTGCATCTGTGTGAATGTCTGAAAAAAAAAATCTATGGTTTAAAAGTCTGTTTCTTGGTCACAAAAAGTAACAGCAAAGGCTTCTTGGGCACTTATCCTCTGTCAGGCACTATGCTAAGCACTTCGTTGTATTACCCCACTTAATTCAAACAACAGCTCTTCTGAGGGAAAATTTTTGTCCCAAATGTTCAGCTGGGGGAACAGAGAGAGACAGCGTGAACCCTGGTGACATATCAAGGCGGTGCATGGAATGCTTTTCACGTATCTTGGACTACTTTGATGTATCCCACACAGCAACCTTGGGTCTACCTGTGATTAGGAGGAAGGGGAGACACCAGGAACCAGACAATTTATCCCTGCTTACCCTGTGAGAACATGGGAGATCCAGGAAAAATACACAGGTTTCTAAACCTCAAGGCTGATGTTCTTCCTCTGTATCTTGCTTACATAAAAACCACTGAAACCTTACATTTTCTGCATGTATGATTTTATCTATAGAAGAAACCTAGGAATTTGGCAAATTGCAAGCTAAATCTGGCCCATAGATGTGTCTTATTTGCTTGCACAGTAATTAAAAAATTTTGTGGTTGCCAACATTTTAATGTCAGCAAGCACCCCATAAATAACCTAGAGTTTTGGCTTCTCTTGAAACATAAGAAGATCTGGCATCTCTGGGCCTCAGAGCCTCATGGCAAATGATGACTAGAAAAGAGTCACAGGCTTTCAGAGTTTTACACGGTGTTCACCCAGCTGTCTTTATTGGCCTGAGTTACCGCCAGGACTTTTGTGCGACTTCTGAATTAAAGAGGTCTACTCCTTCAAAATCAAGGAATTTGAAAGTTTTCAGTGCGATGTGGAAAAGTAGGTCATCCTGCTTGGCTTCTTCCCCATGACATCTACGGGAATGAGAGTCCTAGTGACGTGGCTTCTCTCTCCCAAGGCTTTTACTGACAGAGTGTTTCTCCAACACAAGTGTCATTTCAGATTCAGGAAGGCGAGCCGAGTCATAATTGGCCCTGTCACCATTCGGGTTTGATGCTGGCACCTCGTGTGTTTGCCCTGGTTGAGTAATCTGTTTGTGTCTGGGTAGGCCACACACAGGCAGATGTGAACTCTGTTTATATTCACTTTCTGCCTGGGAACTTGTTTCCTCTGGGT